TAGACGGTTTGTATGTCTTTGATCTGAATGAGTCGCATTACGTCAGTGAAGGTCAGACAGACAGACAGATACACACAAAGAGACTGAAAGACTGACAGAGACTCTGAAAGACTAAAAGACTATTACTGAGATATTCAAAGATCGACCGACGGACAGATCCTGCAAGATGGAATGAAATTTTCTTTATCAGACACAGACAGATGATCGACAAACAGATGAACAGACAAACAGACAGGTAGAATAACAGACAAACAGATAGACAAATAGATAAAGAGATTCAAAGACAAACAGAGTCAAAGACAGACAGACAGACAGACAGACGGACAGATACTGAGAGATGGAAAGATACTGTCTGTGTCTATTTATCATACAGATTATAGATAAATAGATACTGGGAGTCTGAAAGACAGACAGACAATTGATAGACAATAGATACAGACAGACAAACAGACAAATACATAGATAAATAGACAAACAGATAGACAGATTGATAAATAGACCAATCAATGGACAGACAGACAATCGATAAATAGATAATGTGGTATGCTGAATTTAGATCATATTTAGAAGCGAATTAAAAAATTGACCTATAGATAGACTGACAGACAAACAGCCTCACTTAAATATGAGCTGAGTTGATCTAGATCATCTGGACTGATCAGGACTGAACATCACAAAAACAGTAGCACTCATGACTAAACACTGAGCTCCGTTCTGAAGATGGTGCTATCTGAGCTGATCTGTGCTTTACACAGGAAAGCTGCAAGCTGTGCATTATGTGCCACAGCTGAGGAATGCGAACAATCCCAGATATGTGAGCCCTAGAGGATTCAAAAAGGTTTGATCAGACAAATCAGCTAGCCTTCGGGACAACAACAGGAGCTTGCGTTGTTGTTTGGGGTTGTATAGCAGCCCTGAAACCCAAGGGGCTCAGACCATTATCCAACAATCCTCACCCCTCCCTTCTCCCGTCTGGGATATGCGAGTGTGTTTTTCGGCGGGGGGAAGACATGCTTTTCTGGATCAGAGTGACCTGAGGGGCCCATTCAGACCAGACCACAGAGTAGGTGCAGTCACTAAACCCGCACACACACACACACACACACACACACACAAAGAGCACAAACACGCGATGTCAGCAAGGCCACAAGCGAGCAAACAACTGGATGGGTCACTAGAGTAACAGGCAGGCGGGTGGTGGGGCCAGGAGTGTTAACAATGAGAAGAGCTATCTAACGGCTAAAGCTGTTAACAGCCCATGATAAGAGTCCCGGAAGAGAGAGAGAGGGGAGGAAAAGGCAGTAAAACTATTGAGAGAGGTCGTAAAGAAAAAGAAAACAACAGCCAAAATAAGTAGGAAGGGAGGAGAGGCTGGCGGGCAGGAGGGAGGAGATTATGGAGGGCTGTCGTTTCGCTCCCCCTCGCTGAGGAGTCTTGTTTTTGTGCTTGTACACTTGACATTTCTGTGACATTTCTCCTCAACACTTTGCCTCACATGGACCTGGGGACGACCGTTGGATGCCTCCTCCCTACAGTCCCCCCTCCTATTCCCTCCATCAACCGACCTAGCATTGCAAAACTTCTCTGGAGACAAAGAAAAGACACACTCAAACACACACACACACAGATTACAAACATACAATAATCATACCTTCAGTCACCACCAGGGGCTCTTTTTAGACTTTACAACAACATTCTCAGTTGTCCTACTCAATTTGAAGTTTGTTTTTTTTTTGGCCGGTTTGGTGTCAGCATCATGGCAAGAACACGGTAAAGTTTTTAAGTTTGAAAAAATGTTTTTAAATGAGATAACAGACAAAGAGGATAAATCATTTACATACCAAATTATACCATTTTTTATACTCATTTGACATAAAAAGATACCTGTAAACATATTAAACTAACATAAATAGTGCACTCTTTCCCAGACCACAAGTGTAAATGCTACTTTTGGCATCCAAACTCAAATTTAAGCTAACTAAAAAAATAATAATTGTTTAATTTCATAATCAATAGCTTTGGTTACATATTATTATATGTAACAAAACATTGGTGGTCATAATCAGAGTTTAGATGCCAAACATCAGCTTTCTATACAAACGGTTAAGAATATGAGTACCTAATAAAAGCTTTCAGCAAGTTGAATCGCTTTGTACATTCAAATGCCTGATTGAACTGTTCACAACATTGGAAATAAACTCAACAGTCTTTCACGTCCCCTTTGAATAAGTTTATTCCTGAACGAAATCAAAATCCATTTCCTTATCACCAGAGCTAGATTATCTGAGCCATAAGCAGGTTAGCAAACATACATATCCAGGCAGCATGAAGACAAACACTGCAAATGGAAATTGCATTACAAATGGAAAGTCCATAGACTCCAGATACACGCATGCATACACAGAGGTGACGGTAACAAGCGCATGCAAGAACAGGCAAGGAATACTTTAATGGTCTTACATTTCAGAAAAAAAGCAAACAATAGTGCTGCTGTGGACACCCTCATCTCATAACAAACACGCAGAGTCTCGCGCACGTACGCAGGAGCTGATCGCTGATTGGTTGCTGACAGCAACTCTTGGTGCAGTAATTAGAGAGAAAGGACTGATCCAAATTGACTACAAAACCACTGTGTGCCCTTGAAGAAACATCTGCGCACAAGAAAAACAAGGCAATTATGCTGAGGGGTGGAGAAAACTGTTCTCCACAGAGAGCCAGACGGGCTGCACCGAGTGACACTGTATGTGGATTATATGAGGCTGACATCAGCCAAAAGTTGAAGTTTTAGAACAGATCAAGTGATTACACTGTTAATAAGTTAATGAATATGAAGTTCATTCAAATTAATCATTCATTGTAAAACCCAAAACGTGTAAAAAATAAATAAATAAGTAAAATAAAATAAACTGTCCATTTAGAGTTCATGTTGACTTTAAGTGTGTTTGAAATCAGCTTTGCATCAACCTCAACATGACAAAACAACTCAGTGGAGGAAGTTTATACACCCCTCAGTTCCCTCGTCTATCCTTGCCATTACCTCTCATGAGGTTCAATCATTTGTGCCTTAAGAACAAGGCAAGCTGGTGACAGTTGGAAAATGCTGGGGTGTGATTTTCATAGACAAATTGTTGATTCCTTTAAAGCTCCATGTGGAAACATTGATGGGAAGCATACACAATCGGACAGGTGGCTGCCCACTGCTTGTTCCAGTAAGTTCTTTGGAGAACACAGATCAATCAGTCGGACCATTAGTACATCCTTTCTGCTGTGACTACCAGTCGTTCTTTTTGTTCGGCTTTTTGAGCCTTGGATACAGGTGACTCACACCTCCCCACCTCTGCAAAGGCAAAAACACGGCATTCAGACACAAGATTACCATACTGAACAGGTGTGCAGGGGAGCAAGTGCTGACACGATGTGGGCGGGACTGTCGGGAAGAGACTGTATCAGCAGCGCAAAGGAGAGTCACTGGAAAAAAAGGACACTCGGAGTCGCCCACTGCTGTGGATCAAATATCCTGGTAGGGTCGCAGCACGTCATCTCCATACCTTCCTCAAACGTGTCCTTCTCATGATTGTCAGATTCAAAGAATTCCAACAGCAACAAACGAACAATCCGGCTATAAGGGAGCGCGTTTCTGAGGAGGGTTGATTTCCTCTGTTTGTTTTCAGGCGGAGGGAAAGGGGAGAGAGGGCAGCTTTGCGATGGCTTCTCTGAGCCTGGGACTTGCACGGTCTGCAGGTCTCTTGAAGGCCAGGGGTGGGAGAGCGCTGTGGTGTTCTCATCCATTATGTTTTTCCCACCATTCTTGTGCACTTGGGAGAGGAAGAGGGAGCAAACATTCATAATGGGGTAGTTCACTTTCCCAGGCATTCCCGGTCAGATATAGGGGACACACTGACATTCATATCTTCTGACCTCACGACAACAGAGATAAGAAATCATAGAAGATATTTTCTATATTTTGCCAGGTGATTTTCTCACATTCTATTGACCCTATCCACAAGAAAGGGCCGTTTAGGGCATCAAAGTACTATTGTAATATCTAACCCAACAGATGAATTAAACTCAAATTATCAAAGGATGTTTGATTAGGGTTGCAAAAAGGTGGAAAATAAA